GAGGAGGGGCGGAGGAGTGCCTCTGCCTGGCCCGGTGTAAGTGCCTGGGCGGGCGACGTCCCAGGGGCTTCCCCGGCTGTGCTCCGGACCCCAAGTGGGGATTTCTATGGGGCTCATGGTTTTTGCACCCTGACCCCGTCGCGGTGACCCAGTAGAGTGGTCTTTTCCTAGCCGCTCTGCGTTCTAAGTTTGGATCGCTGAGGGGAAGAAGCCTCCTGGGTGGGTCACAGGACTCGGGGCGTGGACAAGCGCGAGGGGTGGGGCAAAATGGAGCCCTGGAGGCGGGCAGGGCGGTGCTCAGCAACGTCTCCGGTCCCCGCAGGGCCTTTCCAGGGAAGTCCAGGTGCCCCGCGCGCGCAGAGGAGTAGAAGCTGGAGTGCTTGGCCCGGGCCCAGGCAGCCCTACGACGCCAGCTCTCGCCAAAGCTCCCGAAGGTCGAAGGCTGTGCAGCCCTCTAGGCCCCCACTACTCTGACCCCATCTCCCAACGCCCGGGCTGCGGCTGACCCAGCGTGCTCTTGCAGACGAGAAAGCAAATCCCACCGACCTTCGTACCTCCCCCTCCTTCTCCCCGCCCCACCCTCCAGCGCGCACTCTGGGGCTCTGGCGTGCCAGGGGACGTCCTGGCTCAGAATGAGGGCCCAGTGGCGGGGGTGGGGCAGTTTATATCTGTCTTGCTCTTGTTTGATGTACACACACCCGCTCTATTTACTACCAAATAAAAGAAATACATCTGTGTTGCCAACAGAAACAGCTCGAGAGCTGGCTCTCTGGTCTCCCAGGGCCCGGAGACGCTCCCGGGCACTCAGAGCCGCAAAGCCCAGCACTGTGAGGACCCCGGCTCCGAGTGAGGCCCCGGCCCATAGGTATATGGGGATCTGAAGTGGGATGATAGCGGCTCCCATAGTTTGTCCCAGGTGGCTTGTGACGAGGGAACATGAGGCATCTCTGCCCAGATGATTTCCAGCTTCACGCCCCAGAAGTAGGAGCACCACCTCGCTCCCTGCCCAATCCTTTCTACAAGGTTCTTCCCAGCTTGCCTTAGCCTGGGGCCATCAGAGAAAACCAGCTGCCCAGGGTCACCCAGAACAAAGTGTGCCTGACTGTGCCTGTGCTGTTGTGATGCTAAACACATATACAGGTTGGGCCCTGGGAGCCCCTGGATGTGGTGTCCGTTAGGAGGTCTAACAGAAGTGTGCGGGGGGGCAGTGAGTGTTTCATGTCACCCTTGAGGGTGAGTGTATCCTGTATGTTGTCTGCATGCGTCTGGATGATGCAGAGAGGATTAAGCCAGGAAGCCGATGCCATTGCACTGGCTTGACTAATTGGGGGTGCCAATAGGGAAGGATCTGAAGTTAGGATAGGAGAGAAGGCTGGGTTCCACAATCTGAAGGGAGGGGAAGATGAAAGGATGAAATCGGGGATGTTGGCTCAGTGTCCTAGGGATTTCTTGGAGGAGTTGAGTGGAGGTACGCTCACTCTGCCACATAGCCCCTTCTGCTGAGCAGTTCCAGCAGTTCCTGGCAATCCTTGCAGAGGCATCGCCTAGAGAGGCACTCTGTGTGGGGGAAGACAGCCCCGGGCTAGCTCTCGGGATGTGACAGTTCCATCAAAGTGCTGTCTTGGCCTCTCCTGACACAAAGGCTTGCAGTAGAGCCTAGGATGCTTCGTGCTCGGGGAGCAGCTTCCGTGCTCCCTGTCTCTTGCATTGTGAGAAATACCATGACCCCCAGCCGACGCGAGCAAAGCAGATGTTTCCCGCCTGGGCAGGCTTCTAGGTTCATATCACTGCCAGTCCCAGGCGACGGCCGAGCCACATTCCTCCCCCAGGGCTTCACCTTGGCTCCTGGGCGGGACTCACCGGCCTAGGGCAACGGGGTCCTCAAAGGGAGGGAAAGGGAGGCTGCAGGAGCAGGACAAAGAACAAACTGTGCGTGTGGAGAACCAGTTATTTCTCGACTTTGTAAAGACCAGGTCAGTCAAGAACCATTTTCTAGAATCCAAACACAAATAAAGGAGTATTTTCTTGGCGCTTGGTAACATCGTGTTCTGGCTGTAAAATCTAGGAACGTGTTTGCTATTGCAACATTATTTTTAATGAGCTGTTATTGGCCTGTCCCGCAGTTAGTATTGCCGACAGTAAAAGGCATCACTGTGTTTGCAGGTAACACAAGGAACGACATATTTGGACCCCGAATTTCTGTTTATTTTTCATTTGTGACACATGCCCTCGTTTTTATCCCAAACCAGAGGAAAATAAAGGGAGATCCATCTTCACTGAGGTCCAGGCTAAATTTTGCCATAACTACACATGCCAGTTTATTTGGAGGCAGTTTCCCATCCATAGGAAACGATACTTGACGTTTCAGCCACAGAAGAATCAATCGTGTGGATTGGGTTTGAGCAACTGCAACTGTAAAGCTCTGGGAGAGGGAATGAGAGCGCGTGCAGGCGCTCCCCAGCGGACGCGCCCGCGGTGTGCTCACAGGGATCTTCACCGTCTCCCCTTTCTCGGCTCCCCAGCTTCAAACGCGCCCTGCCAGGAGCTGGGCGTGCAGACCCCAAGCCCTAGGGCAGGCAGTCGCGCCGCGTTGGCAAGGGGCGCCCAAGCACCTGCTTCCGCCCTCCGGGCCCGCGCTCTCGAGCAGCTCCAGGAGCTCCGCGCTCGGCAGGCCGCCCACCCGGTGCGCGGAGGCCGGGCGCCCGGCAGGAGCTTGGGAATCGCTAGCGCTGCACTTCCCGGCGGCTGCCGGGATCGGGGTACAGGGCCCAGAGAAACCCTGCGCCCGTGAGCCTTTGGGCGCGGTGCACAGAAAAGGACCTGCCCGGGAGGAGGCAAAGTCCTCTCGGTTGTCGCCGCCGCAGTCGGGTGGTCTCTGCTCCCCGGCACTGGACTCACCATGACCGCGCCCACACCCGAGCCGCCCCGGGAGCCACAGTTGCTCCAGGCTTGCGGAGGCCTCCCTGTCCCGGAGCTGGGAGCCGCCGTCCCTAGGCCTGGTTGGCCTCCCTGGGGTCGCCCGCTCGCAGCCTGGCCTCTCCCAGCTGGACATCGCGATCTGCCTCGGGCCGCAGCTAAACTCCAAGTTCACTCCCTTCTTCCCTCCCCCGACCCTGGAGGCAGCCGGAGCCGACCCCGCTCAGGCCCAGTGAGTGCTCAGGGATGTTCTGCCCAAAAGCTCGCGGCTCCCAAAGGACCCTGCGGTCTGGGAACGGAATGCGAGGCTGCTGCCCTGCGATCGGAAATACCAGCGGTCTCTGAGCTTGCGGCTGTCGCTGCGCTCAATTCCGCGAACTAGATAAACCCGGGTCCTCAGCCGTTCCGCCCCGCATTCTCCCCTTGCTCACAGGGCGTTTCAAGAGGCGTACGGTACGGAGAGAGCGGATCTGGTCGCGAACAAAGCCGCCTCTGTCTCCGCCGCCTCCTGGATTACAGGGATGTGCGTCCAGGTCGGACTCGGCCATTGCAGAGGCAGCCGGAGAGCGAGGCAGAAGAGAGTTCGCAGACACCTGCTCTGGGGAAAATCGTCCAAAGTTACACACTCTGGCAACAGGAAATGCCTCGCTTTTCTTTTCTTTTTAATTAATTCCATTTCACGACAACATTAAGTGTAACAATATTTTGTGATTTTTTTCCCTCTTTTTCTTAAAAAGCGACTGAATCCGGGCAGAGGTGAGGGAGGTGGGTGGGAGGGACAAACTATCGCAGAACAACAGGTGTAGCCGACAGAAAGAAAACAGATTGGGTGGCAGAGCAAGGAGCCCTGAGGAGTTGAGGGTGAACTTTACAAGAAATCTGTACATTTATCAAATAAGTTAAAATTCTCCTAAATTGATTGTCCTTCACTTAAAGCGCTCCGGTATGCCTATCTTACTCCTTTGAGCATTGCTACCTATCCTTGTTTCCTTCCTTCCCCCCTTTCCCCTTCTTAATTTCTTCCTCATAAATGAATGACCGGAATTATGCATTGAAGACGTCTGCTTCTCTCCGTGGAGGAAGAAGCAGGCTCTCAGGAAATTTTGTTCAATATTGCACAGGTCAAAAGTACAACAGTTACTGCAGAACAAAACGGTAGGTGGAGAGGATAAAAGATAATTTTTTTAATATTGAAATATTCTCTCAAAATAGGGAACAAAGTAATAAAGGTAACATTAATAATAATTTACCAAAAAATGAAATTCCCCAAATATAGGCTGCTAATAAATAAGACCATCCACACCAGGCCAGATGTGGAGTTGTTTCAATAATCAGAAGTCTGATTTGGGGCTGCCTCATCTTTTCCCTTTAAACACTTAATTAGAGAATTCATCGGTCCCAAAAAGGACAGATGAAGAGGTCAATTGCGACAGACCTCTGCCGGGGAGAGAAAAGTGGCCTGAGTCGGGGTTCTTATGAGAGGCTGCTCAGGTTCTGAAAACTGGGGAATATCTGATTGGGAGTGGAGAGGAAGAACCACACCCAGAAATTCAGAAATAAAAGTACTACAACGTGAATTTCTCCCTCTCTCCCTCCCCCTCTCTCTCCCTCTCTCTCTCTCTCTCTCTCTCTCTCTCGACTTCTGAAAATAGTTCTATAGAAAATGAATCAATTAGAGGGGTTCAGGATTTGCGCTTACTTTCCTTCCATAAAAATAAAACCCAAAAAGCCACAGCGCAAGGCAAACTGGGGGCGGGCGTTGGGGAGGGCGGCACATTTTGCAAAAGCTTTTTCAGCCGAAATATTTGACCTGGAAATTTTGTCTTTTTCCTACTTTCTCTTAATATAAACCAAAACCAAAAGTAAGAGGGGAAGCGCCTCAAATCCATTAGGGGTGAATTGCACGAAAATGCATTGCAAATACTTACAAAAACGCTACCGATTGGGGAAGGGGAGGCCGGAGCCGCGCGCCGAAGCCCCGGTTCCCGAAGGCCGCTGGACGTCTCTGCGCCCTCGGCCCGGCCCAGTCTCCTCTGGGGTCTGGGAAGGGGGCCGGGTGCTCCCTCCTCCTCCCCTCTCGGGCCTCAGACGGGCCGGAGCAGCGGCACGGACGAGACCACCGGGTGAGAGTAATACACGGGGTGCGGGAAGGTGAGCAGCGGCTGGCTGACTGGCACCGGGGCCCCCGCGGCCGCGGCCGCCGCGCCCTCGGCCGCCGAGTTCTCGTGATAGAGGATGGGCACCCGTACGATGCGCTGCGCCGCGGCGTGGCTCAGGTTGGCCGCCTCCAGCTCGGCTGCCAGCTGCCGCTTCCACTTGTTGCGGCGGTTCTGGAACCAGATCTTGACCTGCGTCTCGGTGAGGTGCAGCGACGCGGCCAGGCCGGCGCGCTCCGAGCTGCTCAGGTAGCGCTTCATGTCGAAGGTGGACTCGAGCTGGAAGACCTGGCTGCGCGAGAAGACCGTGCGCGTCTTCTTCTTGCGGCACGCGGGCTTCTTCTCCGGGCTGTCCGCGCCCTTCTTCCAGTCCTCGGCGCCCGGCGTCGCCGCCGCCGCTCCCACGCTCGCCCCGGCCGCGCCCGGCGCCGCCTCGCCCTCCTTCTTGCCTTCCTCCGAGTCGCTCTCCTCCAGAATGATCTCGTCCGGGCTCTTGGAGTCCAGCTCCTTGTGGTCCGGGTCGGCTTTAAGCAGCGGCTCCGGGGAGTCGCGGTCGGTGCCCGAGGCCGGGGAGGAGTCTCGTAGCAGGGCCTTCTCCGAGGCTGGAGAGAGACAGACGGACGCACACACACGCACACGGACACAGCCTTCAGCGAGGCCTGGCGCCTGGGAGCGGCAGGCTCAACCCGCGCCGGCCTCTGGGCCCCAGGCCTCGAGGCCTCACCATTCCCGCGGGCCTCCTCCTTCCCGGCTGGGCCAGAAGAGGGGCACCACATCCTGGCATCCAACCTTCTCCCGAGGAGAGGCTAGGGAGACCCGGAGTGGGCAGCACGGCCGGTTCCTTTCTTTCCCTCAGTTCCCTCGCCGGGGGCCCGCGGAGATTCGCCTCCAGCTTGGGCCCGCCGGGGTCACTCCCTCCATCCAGGCCAGGTCCCCAGTCCCAGCCACCTGAAGCCTCCCCATTCATGCCCGAGGCCACTTTCCCGGGAAGCGCCGCGCCCCGGACTCCAACTCCATTTCTTTTCTCACCAAGTGGGATTGGATTCCCTAGCAGCGCAACAGAGCGCGCGGGCAGGAGTTGCAAGCCAGGGGACGGAGGAAGCCGGCCAAACAGAGCGTTTGAGGGTGCGGGGGTCCCAGGGCTGCGGTGGAAGGCAGCGCGGACCGGGCTGGGACAGGCGCGCAGGGAGGACAACGAAAGTTCAAAGAGAGGTCGGTACCTTCAGGTCGTGGGAGGTGGCCGCCGGCGGGGGTCAGGGTGTAGGGGTACCACCAGGCCGGGGAGCGCTCCAGGTAGTGCGCGGGCAGGGCAAACCTCTGCGCCGGGATCTCAAAGCGGGGGAAAGCCAGGTCGCCCACCTGCGAGAGCGCGAAGCCCGCGGCGCCCTCCAGGGCCCCCTTGGCCGCAGCGGCAGCGGCGGCGGCGGCGGCGGCGGCGGCGGCGGCCGAGGCCGGAGCGAAGAGCGTCCGTGGGGGCGGCTGCGGCTTAGGGGGCGGCCGGTGGTGGTCTCCGTTGAGCAGGTTCTTGATGGAGAATGGGGACTCCTTGGGCGCGGGAGGCGGGGGCGGCGGCGGCGGCGGGGGCTGCGCGCTAGCGGTGCCGGGGGCGTCCGGCCCGGGCTCCGGCATTGTCCCCTCTCCTCCGGGTCCCCGGGAGGGAGGGAACGGGACAGGCAGGCGGCCGGGCGAGCAGACGGGCGCCGGAAATCAGACCATAAACGGAACTCAACTACGGGGCGCAAAGTCGGGGGCCGCCCCGGGCGCAAATCCAACGGCAGGAGGGCGGGGTGAGGACCCGGCCGGGGCTGGCTCGCATGGGGGAGGGGTGCTGAGGGGCGGGGAGCGGCCCCGTAGCGGCACCGAGGGAGCGAGGCGGCTAGGCGGCGGCTGCAGCTCCCGGGGAGGAGGCGGCTAGAGCAGTCCCCGGCTTGGGGCTGCGTCAATCCGGCGCCGGATGCTAATGATGAAATCAAAATGTCATCCAAGTTAAATGCGGGGAGTATACGGCGATTGGGCGCGTACAATGGCAAATGGGATTAGGCAGGCGAAGGCGCAGCCGAGCCCGGGTCCCGCAGCCGCCTCCGCCACTGCCCCCTCCTCGCCTTCCCTAGGATTTTGGCGCTTTGGCTTCGGGCTATAAGAGCCCGCCTATTATTGGCTTTATATAGTCCAATTAGGCAGCAAATGAGGACAAGCCTATTAGCACAAAAGGATATTGGCTCCTGCTAAAGAGGCACTCGGAGCGCTCCGGCGAGCGCAGGAGGCGAGCTAGGGACGCTGAGCCGGCGGCGCCCCTGGCCGGAGCGCACTGACAGCCGCGGCTACCCGAGCCCGCGCCTCCCTCTCCCCCCTGCAGCTCGGGGACCCGCTTCCAGCCGCCTGGCCCGCGGGAGGGGGAAGGGGCGGTCCAGGCCCGCCCGGGTCACCTCGGGGTTATCCGCGCTCGCAGCTGCCTCTTCCCCGCCCCCAAGGGTTTGGCAGGGGCCCTCCGCCCCGACTCAGCTGGAGAGCCACGCAGCGCCGACCCAGGAGGCAGGACTCGGCCTCCGGCCCGCGGTGAACTCAGCACTTTCCTACCCTTTGGGGGTCCAGCGACCTCAGCATTTTCCCTAAAGCTTGCTAAAGGCGAGGCCAGGAAGAGGGGGATTTGGGTTCCCCACCCACCATCTAGTCGATAGGAAGGGAATCGGGGTGTAAGTCCTTGCACTGCGTCAGCCGTCTCAGAAATCCACATGGCCTTGGCCTTTGGCCTTGGGAAACCGAAGAGTGAGCCTTCCCCGGAGAGCGGGAGTGGTTGTGCCTCTCTGCGCACCCAGGTGTGCGCGCAGAACAGGCTGACGCCCGCGCGTCACTTGGTGGGGCGGTGGGGCAGCGGCATCTCGGCACCGACGGCTACGCTCTGCAGGGCATTCTTTTCCTCTGGTCGCCGGGACCCAAACCTTGACGAGCAACTCTGAGCCCGCTGCCCCGAAGACTGCATTTTCTCCCGGGAAGTCTCTCTGGCCAGCCTTTGGAGCTGCCTAACGCTTTAAGAGGAGCAGTGTGAACCGAAGGCACAATGGCGTACCTTCCTTTGTGGCGGCTTTGGCAGCGACACCGCAGCATGTCCCGCCTGTCGTCAAGTCCCTAGAGAACCCTGCTGGACCTGTGAGCTGTGCGGACGGTTACTCTACTCCATGGACTTTAAAAACGACTCTCCAAATTGCACAAGAAAGCTGGAAGACAGGCATCTAAGACTCTAAACTTAAGCATCAAATAAACCAGAATTACTTGTGGGGTCCCGTCCCAAGAACAGCTCCCTGGTCAGAGAAAGGTGGAAAAGTGGCCGTCACTCCCCTCCACCCATTGTGAGCTTCCATACACCCGAGGTCTTTTTGTGGCCCCTTCCTTTACCATCGCCTTTTTTTTGTTAGATCAAGCCCTCACCTAACTCAAGGCTGCCCTGCATTGGCAGGCGCGACCGCTTTGGTTACCCAGTTGAGAAGTGGGTATGTTTTGTTTTCCGATCTGGGGCTTCAGACCCTCCCCCACCAAATTTCGAAGGGCACATTTAACACGTTTTTCACCAAACATTCACCTACAGTAGTGAGCTCTATACTGATTTGCTTTGGGAGCCTGGAAGCATTGTAAATGGTACTTCCATAAACAATTATTATTCTCATTCTCATTACTCCCTTGAGTTTGTACAGGGCTTTACTGGAATATAAAACCCTATTCCATCCAAAAATCTGATTGGAGCCAGTTACAGCCCTGAGATTCGAACCGGGTGGATCTCACACTCAGGTTTTACAGATAGAAACAGGCTCCCAGAGAGGAGGAGACTGGGCCAAGGTCACCCAACACTGGGTGCTGGACACCGAGAAGTCATTTTCTCTCCAACTGCAGAAGTAGCTCGAGGGGCCTATGTCCAAACCCGTTCGGTGGGCAGCGCCCACACGCGCCGGCCAAGCGGCAGAGGGTGTGACGAAGAGGCCCCTGCGTGTCTGTGTGTGCGCGTTCGCGTTTTGGGAGCTCTTCCCGTTCGAGGCAGAGGCGTGCAAACTTGGCCAAAGTTCTGACACATGGAGCCTCCTTTAAGCTGAAACAAGCAGAAAAGCTGCTGGCCTCCCAGGAAAAAAAAGCGTTCAGCAGACGTCGCCGAAAAGTTCTGGCTGAGGAAGTGGTCTCTTGGCTGATTGCAACTGGGGACTAGACCCAGATGGGGAGGGGTGCAGGCGAGCGGGGGAAGAGTCCTCTGGGACAGCAGTCCCTGCACCTGTGGCGCCGCTACCGGAGCCTCACTGTCTCTTGACCCAAGTTCTCCCGGTGTCCTCCCTCCCAGGGCGCGCAGGTACGCTGGCTTTTGTGTGTGCGTTTTGACCAGGGAGAGAGGAGATGCTCAGGTGTCAGCACCCCAGCCCGTCCCCCAAGTTTCAGGGATGCTGGGTTTGAACAGCCAGAAACACAGATTAAACCTTTTTTCCCCTCCCACTTCCAGAAAGCTCGTGGACCTAAGGCCGCAGGCGCGGACACAGCCCTTCACTCGCCCTATGGAGAGTGGTGTTGCCTCGGTTCACTTGCGCCCGCAACTGCAGTCAAAGTCAGGCAAACAGCGCCCTCTATGGGACATCCTCTAAACCAAACCTGTTGGCTGCGCGGGAGAAACCACCGTCCAGGCACAAAGCGTTTAAAACCCCGGCGGTCTTACCCTTCCCGGCTTTGGCTTGAGAACAAAAGCACTTTTTCTCTGGATTCCGGGAGAAACAGAGAGTGAAACACCTGCAGATATCTGCTGATCTTTACCTGGCCACCACAGGAAATGGTCCTGTCTCTCACCCTCCCTCCCTCCTTTCCTGACCCTGTTTTAGGGCACATTTTATGTTCCCGCTTGTAACCGATCCCTTAGGCTCCCATCCTGACTGCAGGCTAGATGTGAGCTGCTGGAAGGGCGGTGGGCCTGTCTCATTCCTCTTCCCAGGACTCAGAGCACAGTTGGCCAACCAGTGGTACTCAGTAACTGCTTGTTAATGCCTGAATGCTTGAGTGAATGAAGGAGTGAATGAATGAACGGACTCACAGTTTCCATGGCAGAGGATTTGCCTAGCTGATTAGGGTCCTTCGGATAGCCTGTTCATACCCAAAAGCAGTTTTTAAAAGGTTTAATGAGAACTTGAGGTCTTTGGTGACACATTTTACAAAACATAAATGAGCTCCAGCAGCAGGACCCCTGGAGGGCCCCCTCACAGGCTGGTCCAAGGCAGGTGGGCTGTGCAGAGCAGGACCTCTGCGGCACTGTGCAGGGGGGACAGCAGCTAAGAGGGCAGAGGGGGCCTGGAGACGCTAGTGACTAACACCCGACTTTTCCCAAACGAATGAGGTCTGGCAAAGGGTGCTTAGGATGGCACTTGCCTCATCATCCCCACCACACATGCACAGCACATATACACACATGCACACATCCCCACCACACATGCACAGCACATATACACACATGCACACATCCCCACCACACATGCACAGCACATATACACACATGCACTCATCCCCACCACACATGCACAGCACATATACACACATGCACACATACAGGTCAGCAAGTGTGAGCTCCTGGGGAGGGAGTATTTCCATATTCTCTAAAACTTCTGCTTGCTTCCATAGGGTCCTTCTTCTTGGGACAGCTTCCTGGGTTAGTCCAGCTGCTTATCTGTGGAATGGGAAGGACTGTTTAGGCTTCTAGCCAAGACTACAAAGCCCCAGGTATGGAGGCTCCCCACAATTAACATAGCCAAGGTTTGCATTGGTCCTGAGGGTGACAGCTCTCCTGACCTACAGGTCCTGTAGGCAGAAGGGACAAAAGCCTGCAGTTGTGGTCCTGAGGAAACTGCCTCAGGCTGCCTGTGCTCTGGCCCTCTTTCCTGGAAAGTTCTCCCCCATCTGGTTCCAGTGCTGCCAGGAATTCCGCCAAAGACCCCTCCCTTAGGCCAATGACTGTGATTCTGAGAAAATGCACAGCCCTCGGAGATGGGCCACAGCCATGCTGTCCTCAATCATATAAAATGATATACGATGTCCTTAGAGTGGCTGCATGTCTAGTCCTTCCCTGAGAGGAAAATCCAATCATTTTTGGATTTGTCAAGTTCCAGAGGGATTCTTATCCTGAAAAGTCCACATCCCAGGAATGAATAGAGAAAATCGGGTTATACCCATACAATGGAATATCACTCCGCAATGAAATGAAATAGTGATATATGCTACAGTATGGGTGAACCTTTGAAAGCATTATGCTAAGTGAAAGAAGCCAGACATAAAAGGAACACATATCGTATGGTTACATTTATATGAAATTTTGCCCCAATAGGCAACTTCATAGAGACAACAAGTGAAAAAGTGGCTGCCTAGGGCTGGGGGATTGAGGGCAAATGGGAAGTGACCGCTAGTGGGTACCAGGTCTCTTTGGGGCATGATGAAAATGGCCTAAAATTGATTGTGATGATGGTTACCCAATTCTGTGACTATACTAAATCCTGTTGAGGTGTGTGGTTTAAATGGGTAGATTGTGTGATCCATAAATGGTATCTCAATCAAGTTGTTATTTAAAAATCCACCTCCCAGCAACCAGGCACAGGTACAGTCTTTCCAAAGCCTCTTGT